TCCAGGGCCATCGACCATTTCTTCTGTAATGTCCCAGCTATGCTGACTATAGTTTGTGGGGACACCAGGGTCCATGAGTACACTGTGTTCTTCAGCTCCGTCATCTACCTCCTGATCCCTTTCCTGGTCATTGCAATTTCCTATGGGAAGGTTCTCCTTGCCATCTACCGCATGCGCTCCCGGGAGGGCAGGAAGAAGGCCTACGCCACCTGCAGCACCCACATCACTGTGGTGACTTTGTACTATGCACCGTTTGTTTACACATACCTCCGTCCAATGTCCCTCCGATCTACAACAGAGGACAAGGTCCTGGCTGTCGTCTACACCATCATCACCCCCATGCTGAACCCTCTGATCTACAGCCTGAGGAACAAGGAGGTGCTAGGGGCTGTGCAGAGAGTGACTGGGAGATGTTTTTCTCTGAAAATTTAGTAATTCTCTGCCTCACCATATCAGCAGTAGATCCCTACTTGAAAAATACTTAATGTTTAGGACTTAAACTGATTTTAATCTGTAACAGTTCAAATACATGAGATGTGAGATGATAATTATATATTTTGACCCTTAATGTTTATTTTCATTTATTTTTTCCTATCACGTAATGGATACGTGTCTTTCACTTATGTAAGGTTTAACAGTTTTCTCACATAGACAATTGAAATGAAAAGTATTGAAACCTTTGCAAATCTTTCAGAATATGAGTCTGTTCAAGATCATGATCTAATATTGACATTTTAAAAATGACATTTTAGCATTCACATTGCCTTGATTCACTTCAAAATCGTCCCCCACGTGGGAACACACCGTGGCCTTGTCCTTGCTGTTGTCTGAAGCAGTTTTGGAGGACCTCTTCTGTGATCAGCTTTAGTTTTGCACTTGTGACTGTGCAGGGGTCCAGGATATATTCAAAATGTTACCCCTATGATTGTTTTCAAATATTTCCTCCTTATGTATTTTTTCTTCCTCTTTCCACTTAACATTCTGTTCCCATAACTTGTTCTTTAATCTTTCCCTAGTCCTAAAACATCCTTTTACTCCCCCACGAGATCCTTTCTACTGCTTGTGTCTCCCCTTAATGCCATATAAGCAAAGTTTTAAAATTTTCTCACTGCTTTTCCCCATTTCCATGTCATATATCTTCAATTATATAATGCAATGTGATTTGGTGATCTATTGCTAGTTGGATAAGCCTGTAAAATTACTTTTGAGTTCTTTCCTATCATTAATGGATTTGTAGCTGTCATATTCAGTACATTTTATATTTAACTCAATACTAGAATTGTCTTATTTTTACATCATAATTATAGATTTCTTATCTAGAGTTAAAGGTAGTGGTTCTTACATTAATACCCAATTTGTCTTCTATAAAATACTGTAACTGATTTGCTTAATATTATCAGGGTAACATAACTATTGGTATCTCTCTGTAAGCAAACCCTGAGTTTACATTTTCAGTTGTAATACTAGATTACAAGCCAGAAAACCTAATTACACTATGTCTTTCCATCCCAAATTAAAAAGTCAGATGCCG